TACCCCCCGGGGAATTTGCATTTTCATGGCCGCCGCTTTTTTCCGGCTTGCAGATAAGCCGGAGAAAAGCGTCCAGACTGGCGCGATCCTCCGGAATAAAGCCCTTGAAAGTAGGAATAAGAGATCCTCCGGAATAGGGCTTTATTCCAGAGGATCGTGCCAGTCTGGACGCTTTTCTCCGGCTTATCTACAACAAGCCGGGAAAAAGCGGCGACCATGAAAATGCAAATGCCGTGGGGGATATTTAAATCCCCCGCGTATTTGCCTTTTCCCAAGTGCTACATTAGCATGCCTATTCTGTAATAGGCAGCCAATGTAGACGTAGCCCTAAGGTCTGTTAGAATTGAGGTTTCATCAGACTCATGCATCTGTCAATATGGTCTAGTTACTAGAAAGAGACCGAAATCATACTGGATTCACATGGAAGTACAGTTACATCACATTAAATGTTAGAACCAAGCACTTCAGGAAATTTTCTCAGTCTGGCGTTTGAAAGCATAAATAATGTAGTATAATGAAATATTGTGTGGAAACAATATATTTATTGCAAAGTTCTTTAGGAATTAGTGCTGATTAAGGATCAGATCCTCAGCTGGCATAAACTGGTCCCATAGAGTCTGGTTTTGGTGTATTTTATTTTAATTGAATATGTAATCATTAGTAAGATGTTTCCACTTTTGTCATCTTGTATATATACACATGTACTGGATAATTAATTTTCAGATTAATAGTCTAAATAAAAGTAGAAACTGTCATGTTTCTTTTATACATAGTAGGCCTTTAATCCTGGCAAATGTCATGGACTAAAGGAGTTAAATGCAAGACTAGCTTTACAGCAGCAAAATATTGGCAAAGCACGTGTCTTGGAATTTCAGAATCAAAGCAAAACAGGTCTAGCTCTGAATACTCTAACTCTTTTCTCCTTCCTCGACCTAGAAGATAATGAAGCGTCTCATTAAAAGATATGTATTGAAAGCTCAGATTGACAAAGAGAATGATGAAGTCAATGAAGGTGAGTTTAGCATATTGATCACCATTTCAAAGTTAATCACAAAATCAAAAGAAGCAATTCAAAAAAGATTATGAGGTTTTTGACTTGGAAGAGCATTTCCAAAAGTTTTTAGGACAATCACATCTCAAAGGCCTTGCAACCATGGCAAAATAAAAGTGATCACAATAGTAAATTATTATAAAACAGTGGCTTAGCCAGCATGGGATATTTGGGTGGCCCCCAACTTAAGATGGGCTGGCAATTCCAGGGAGGGCCTGGGAAGGCAGTAGGGATGGGTGTCCCTTGCATTCTTCATGGTGTGGATCACATGTATGCTTGTGGCAATGATAGCAATCCTGTACATGAAAAAGTATTACTGGGAACATATTTAATAGATTGTAGCTTCTTTTAATGTGATTTAAAGACTCTAGCCAGCTCTCTGCATATACAGGCAGTCCCCGGGTTACGTACAAGATAGGGACTGTAGGTTTGTTCTTAAGTTGAATCTGTATGTAAGTCGGAACTGGCATCAGCCGCTGCTGAAACTGATCAGTTTCAACAGCGGCTGAATCTGGACGCCAGTTCTGACTTACATACAGAT